ATGACCAGGAAAAAAGGTTTTCTAAGGAAATGACGAGCTGAACAAAAGAGCAGGGAGCCCCTCCCCAGCACACCAGCCGGGGCGCAGCCGGGATGCCCAGGGCAGAGAGGGAGTGAGGGGCACAGAGCAGGGCACACGCAGTGCCATCCACCGAGCGACCGGACACCCGCCTGGCGGCCATCCGGCCATCCCCACTCGTCCCCGGATCCCACGCGGGCGGGGCTCCTGGAAACGTCCGCTCGCGCCCGGCCTCTGTCCTTCGGGCCCGAGCAGGAGCGGGAGGCCTGGCCGGTCCTCCCTCCTCCCTAGATCTGCTGTCCGACCGCGACTGCTCCTGGCACTTCCCGGGCGCTTTCACCAACCCGGGACTGTTTCCCCGTGACCCTGGAGCCTCCCACGGGCCTGGCCCAGACGCAGCCTGTTTGTTGACTGAACAAGTGAACACGAATATTAATACTCAGGAGCTAAAGCCACGGACACGGATGAGGCAGGAGACGGAGTGAATGGTTCAGACGACAGGAGGCCCCTCATTCGCGTTGACGTTTCCACCAGCTCCTTACACAGAGGCCTCAGCGTCGTTCAGTCGCTGAGGTACCAGCCCCAGGCCCAGGCCCAGGCTGGGCGACGCTCTAGGCACCCGCAGTCCCCGGCGTCCACTTTATGGGGGAGACGGGCACTCAACCAAGACCCAAGCAGGACACAGGCAGGTTTGGTTTGGGACTCACTCCTGTGGGCTCCCAGGGGGTTGGGTGTGGGGGTCCCCACCCGCCAGGCCCCAGAGCTGGGGGAGGTGGGCAGTCACAGCTGCAGGGCCCGGCCCTGGGGCAGGTGGCACGTCCAAGGAGCCTGCTTCCTCAGCCCGAATCCCTCTGGGCTGTCACTGGCAGCCATCTCTTAATTAGCAAAATAAACAGCACAATGATAAATGTCATGATTTACTCAACAAATGATCAAAATCATTGTTTTTTCAGACCTCGGGGCAATGAAATGCAATCTCAGGGTGATTTATTCAGGCAGGGTGAGTGGTGGCAGGCAGGCCGCCCATAGGGGGGAGGAAGGTCATGTCAGGCGTCACCTGGGCCAGGGACAGACCACCTCCCTTTGAGATGGAGCCCAGGGGCCGCCTGCACTCACCCCAACTCCCATCTGTCCCACAGACATTCCTGGCCAGGTCAGGGTGCAGGGCAGATACACCTGACATGGGGTATGTCTCCTTCCAAAATGACAGAATCTCCAGGTGTCCGCAAAGCACCCAGGGGATGGGACGTTCGGAGACACTGAGCGTTCTCGATACACGTGGGAGGGGGGCTCAGCTGCCAGGCCGCCACCCCCGTTACTGTTTTGCTGAAGAAAACTCCTGCATGGAGCAAGGGTGGCCCCAGACCTTGAACCTGAAGGTTGGAGGTCGCCCGTCAAGCCCAGCAGGGGAGAGGAGCGGTGTGTGCCCGAGGGGAGGGCGACCCCCGGGGCCTCACGCGGGCCAGGCAGCTCGTCAGTTACCCGCAGACAAAAGCAACCAGCCGTTCGATTTGATTTCAATGGAATGTCCAGAGAAACAATTTTGTTCTCAGAGTAGAAAGAGAATTGTTTCCATGGTGTCCCCAGATGAGGGTAAGAATAATCCAGTTGACCTTGATTTTAATCCAGTCCTTGGGGACACCTTCCTGTGACTGTGGGGGGACCCCTTTGTGCATCCAGCCGACAGGAGGAACCCCACTGAGAGCTTGGACCTTGCACGGATCGGCTCCCAGCCACCCGCCAGGGGAGTCCACAACGATACCGGGCCCTCCTTAGGTTTCTTTTGACATCTTTGCTAAAAATGTGCCTACCTCTCCTCTTTCAGTCAATGAGTAGAACATAAACTGTAGCAAAATCAAAGCACCCCAATTTATAGAACAATCCCCAGCATGAGNATGAGTAGAACGTAAACTGTAGCAAAATCAAAGCACCCCAATTTATAGAACAATCCCCAGCATGAGACTGACGATTACACACACAAAACTGGGGGCCGGGTTGAGGTTACAGCCTTCGTGCCTCGTCCCCGGGACCTGGGCTGACGGCCCGGCCTGCCCCCGCCTCGCCCGCTCACCTGCCGCTTGCTCGCTAACAGCTGTCTGGTTATCTGCCCCGTCCAGCTGCCTGCTGGGCAGAGGTCCCGGGGGGCCCAGGGAGCGCGTCTTTGCAGGAGCTCGCGCTGGACGGGTCACACGGTCAGGCCGCCCGGTTTACGTTAGGGACTCGGGGACTCACAGAAAGATCCAGGCTGTGGAGCCTGGGTTTCCCGCTCCGGTCCGGGGCCTGTTTGCAGGCCGGGCCCACAGTCAACGCCTAACTGGGAAGGGGCACCCAGGAGGCGCGTCTCTCTCCCGAGCCACCCGTTCTCCTCGAGGAAGGCGCGAGAACAGAGCGAAACGGCCGTGACCTGTTTTGGGAGACCCCTGGAAAATCCCATAAAGCTGCTGACGAGGGAAGACGGTGGATTCCCCCCCCAAAGGCCCAAACGGAGGCCGGTGAAGCTAGAAGGAAACCTCCTTGGCCTCGTGATCTAGTTCAGGGGAAAGTGGGCTCGCCCTGAGTTTTCGGGGTACCCGCTTCCTCCCTCCCTCCGTCCCTGGGGAGGTGGTGGCTTCCCATCCAGTCCTCCCTTAGGCCCTCCTCTCAGTTGCCACACTGACGCAAACAGCCGCCCGCCCCGCTCGCCGGGGGCCATGAGGCCCAAAGACGGGCCACAGCGCAGCTAATCCGGCTGCGGGCCTGCAAAACAAGGCCAGAGCAGACCATGCGGTGCGGTGCGGCGCGGCCGGAGAGCCGGCGGAGGGCGTTGGGTGGAGGGCAAACACTCCTAAGCTCTGGCATGAAAGGCAGCTGGCAGGTCATGACCCAGCGACAAAGCCCACTGGCGGGGGGGGGNGCAGAGAACAAACAACATGGCAAAGTCAACAGGCCCGGACAGATAACCGCACGGCCCGACGGGCCTGGCACCCAGCACGCGGCGGCGATACGGGCCATTTCTTTAAAGAAGAGCAAACAGAAACCTGTAGCAGAGCAGACGAGAACAAGGTCGCCTCAAGGTCATCCAACGCCCTACCTGCAAGGTGTGTTTTCACTCCAGGGTCCAAAAGCCACCTGCTCGTTCAATAGCCCAGACCTCTCCGAGAGTGTCACCCAGACACCCTTAAATTTCTCTCCCAAACAGCCAGGCAGGAAGGACGAGACACAGGCAGAGTCAGAGAAATGCCACCTCACGGCCCGAACCACTTACCTGTCACACTGGCGGGAAATGCTCTCCTTGCTCCCAGAGGGGACGGCCCCACGAGCCACGGCAGGGCCCACAGTGTGGCCCCCGGGGTGGTGTTAGGGCTGCAATTCCAAACCCCCTTCACCTCCTGCCTTGCCTTGCTCCTAGGCTCCTGGGGATTTGTTCTGAAGGTGACCTTGAGCGGCACAGACCTGAGTCTGCCACCCAGGACGGTGGGGCCAGGCCAGGCGACCATCATAGACTGTGCTGAATTCTGGGGCGCCCATTCCTTCGTCCATCTGGTCAACCCACCTTCCAGCTAAACCTTTTATAAAGCTGGCACTCCGGTGGGGAGCCTCTGCGCCCCCAATGTCCACACCCCCAGGCAGGGGCCACACTCCACCTGCCTGCTGGGAAGTCAGAGGCTCCCAGTGTCGAGGGCACAGCTGGCCCTGGCCCCTGTGAAGGAGGGAGGATCTGTGGGCTGTGGGCAGCCTCTACCACCGTGAGCATCAGCACATCCAGCCTCCCTGAAACCCTGAGAAAGGGTCTCAATGCTGATGGGCCCAGGGGAGGCGCCCCAGGGTGGCTGGGGCTCCGGGAGCCTGGAAACGAGCTGGGGAGAGGGCACTGCCGTCTCTAGGGAGAGGTCAGGCATGACAGGCAGGGATTAACCTCGTGAGAGAGCAGAGCGGGGCCTGCACACACACTACAGGACCCCTCAATCGGGGACCTTCCCGAAGCCACTGAGAGGCTGTGAGCACTGGCTCCCCTCCCCCTCACTGCCCTGGTCCCTGCCACACCGGTCCCCTCCCTAGAGCTGACCTCATCCTAGGAATCTGGGTGCCGACCTGCATCTTCCGCCCAGGCAGGGTCCCAGCCCAAACAGCACCGGAGACACTGCAGGGCCGGAGCAAAGTCAGGACACCTGAGACCACCTTAAAGCCTCCAGACCGGGTCCAGCATCCTTGGTGGCCTGAGCAGGACACCTCTGAGGGAGGGACGCCTTCAGGGACCTCCGCACCCCTCGGCTAATGTGCCTCCACTCTCCTGACCACACACAGGCTCAGAACCATCACGGCAGACCCAGGCTGTTAGGGAACCTAACCCACAGAATCCCCTCCCTGGCAGGACGGGACTGTACCCCACTAACACGAGAAGTGAGGCTCCTCTTAGGGAGCCGGGTGACAGGGAGTGGTGGCGGGAGGCCCTGGCGTTGATGAGCTCGGGGTGCCTGGGGACAGCACGGCCACCGGGCTTATTCTCTGAGTGCTCCCCAGGCGTCCGGCCCCCCGGGGCGGGAGGTCTCCCTGGAGTAGCGACTCCTGATCTGGGACATCCCATTCATCTGCTGCCCCCCCGAGCTCGCAGCCTCAGCACCTAAGGCCCAGACAGGAAGCCCGGGCGGTTTAAGACATGAGCTCATTAAAGACACATTTCCGGGAGAGCGCGGAGCGGGCACAGCCGGGCCGCCGGGCGCCCGCGAGGACCTCGATCTCTCTGGGTCCCGTCACGCGAGCCGCGGGATAAAATAAGCCTGGGAAATGTGACATCCGAACACTCCCTCCGACCGCGCCTCCCGCCCGGGGCGGCGGCCCGGCCGGCTTTATAAATAGACGGAGCGCAAGATAAATGGGCGCCATCAATCTCCCGGCGCGACGCTCACCTCCCATCCGAAGTCGGCCTCCTTCAGCGTGGCCCGGGGCGCCACCATGTAGGGGCCGAAGCGCTCCCCGACCTCCATCCGCTTCTTGGCCCAGATGCCCAGGCCGGCGCCCGGGATCGAGGACTCCCGGAGCTCGAAGTCCGGCGGGATGGGGATGTCCTCGGGGATGTAGACGGGGGCCTCGTAGGGCGAGCCCTCCTTGGGGGTGAAGTCCTCGCTGGTGGGGAAGGGGGAGGCGGGCCCCATGGGGATGGGGGACATGATGCTGTCCTCGGTCTCGTCCTCGGCGCTCTCGCCCGCCAGCAGGTCGGGGTCCGGGTCGTACATGTTATTTACAATGTCACCGTCACCTGCGGGGAACAAGGCAGTGTCAGGCTGGGCGGCACCCCTGCCCCAGTGCGAGGGGCTCAGGGGCCCCCCGGGACAGGGACGGGATGGCGGCCCGGGGTACCAGGAGGCCAGGACGTCCCCGGCCACCACCCCTCCTCCCCCCGTGACGTCGCCGCCGCTCCTCCTGACCCAGCAGCCCTCCCCCACGTTAGAGCCGCCCCCCCCATGGCGAGTCCACCAGCTCCCTCAGGAGCCGGCGACCTCCGTGTCCCCCGCGGCCACACGCGGGACCAAGAACCTGTCACCCGCTCCGCTTCAGAAGAGCGGGGACAGGAGCCGCCCACGGCCCACAGGTGTGGGGACAGCGGGGGGGTCGACACACTGGGCACCCCACCTGGGGCTGGTGGTAAAGCCACGTTCTAGAACCATCCGACCTGTGTCTGCAGCTGGATGGACACACGTCCCGCCTTCTCGGGAGGACTCAGAATTTGGGTTCCTGGGGCATCTGTCCTACTCTGGACAGTCGAGTGGGGCCAGCAGGACCCCGGACGTTCCCGACGGCCTCGCGGCAGGTTAGGGCAGAGGCCTGCTGGGGTCACGAACACGGGGCTCATGCGGCCGCAGGTCACAGGCTGAGAGAAAGGGCAGGAGGGTCCCCGGTTTATCTGTCCGGGGTTCTTCCTAAGATAGCCTTGGTGCCAAGATAGTGCCACCCGGACATATGCCAGCCCCGAGGAGGTTCTAAACTGTGGGCTGGGGAGCGATGGTGAGAGCAAGGGGCGGGTCACTCGGGGGAAAGGGCCCCCTCCAGGTATCGACCCGAAGAACCGAAAGGACCGGTGAACACTCACAGCACCGTAGCCATGTTCCCCTAAAGGCAGGCACACCGGGTGCCCCTCGGCAGGTGAAGGGCGGGCGCACGTGGCCCGTCCACACGGCGGAGCACCACCCAGCCACGAAACGGACCGGCCGCCGACAGGCTGCCCCGCGGACGGGCCTGCAAACGCCTCGCTGAGCGAGAGAACCGGCCGCGAGGGGCCACGCGCCGCCCGAGCCCGTGTCTGCGGAACGCCCAGAGCGCGAGCCCGGCGAGGTGGAGCTCACACAGCCGGGGCTGGGGCTGGGGGCCGGTCAGTGGGCGTGGGGTCTCCTCTGGGGGAAGAAAATGTTCGGAACTGGACAGAGGCGGCCGTTACACAACCTTGAGAATGTGCTAAACGTCACTGAGCTTTCGCTTCAAAATGGCTAATCCTTAACGTTACTTGAATTTCACTATAATGAGATTTTTAAAGTCAGAGAAGGCGTGGGGAGCAGAGGGCGCCTCGCCCGCTGGAGCCTCCTGACCTCTGTCCAGACGCTTCCGCCCGAGTCTGGCCTTTTGAAAAACCTGCGAAAGTGACCCGGCCGCCGCGGTCACTCTGGCCCTTGGCCTCGGCCCCTCCCTGCTCCCTGAGTGACGTGGGCGGGAGAAGCTGAAGTCCCCATGGAGACGGGCCCCTCACGCTGGCTGCAAACAGGCCGGGCGGAGAAGGAACAAAATGTTTTCCTTCCAAAGAAACCAAAGTCTTTGAGGAAAAAACATCCTGGGGATACCACTTATTTAATTTAGCAGCATTCACAGAAGTAATTGTTATGTTTTTAATTGATCGGCAGGATCCTTTCAAAGGAGCTGCAGCTGAGGCCCGGCGCCCTAAGGATCCCGGCTGCTTCGGTTGGAGCCTCCCCCATACACCTTCCCTGCCCGCGGGGCGCAGAGGCCGGTCCCAAGGGGGTGATTAAGGTGCCACCTCGTTACTGGGAACTGGGGACTGTGCAGAGCTCGCAAACAGGCCCCCCACACACGCCCCTAACTCCCGGGGGGTGGGGTGGCTGAGCTCCAGGACAGTGAGCAATCGGCGAGGCTACCGTGTGGGTCCCTGCGCGTTGTCCCCCCCACGCATCTCAGGGCTCTTTTTTGTTTGGGGGGGGCGTGTTGTTTTTATTTTAATTTTCTGTTTGAATTCTACTTCCCCAAACGCCTCACCTGCTGGAGGGCAATCGACATTTGAGGGTGTGTTTAATGTACGGGCCGAGCAAACAGCTCAGGCGAGCTCGGTGGCCGTGGCGGTGGCCGTGTTTCCTGCTGATTAGAGGAGGCTGAGTGGGGCCTCCACCCCCAGCGGGCACGGGATTAAGTGACTGCCCCAAGCGCCAGGAAAACCCGTCTCCGTTCTGCTGGGGGACAGGTGGCCTAATTACCGTGCAGAAGCATTTGGAGAAAATGGGGTGTCAGGAGCAGCCCCAAGGCCCTGGAGGAAGCAGAGAGCTGCTCAGAGGCGCCGGAGCCGCAGGGCAGGCCAAGCACAAATTGTCCTCTCCCCAGGGTCCTCGAGGAGCTGGAGAGACCATCTTCCTCAGCGGCCAGGGGACCCGGAGGGGGCCGGCCCAGGCAGGAGCTCCCTGCCCCCTTCCCTCTGCCCCCTGCCCCCTGCCCTCTGCCCTGGGCTGGATACGCATTTCTCTGGCCCCGGCCCCGCCACCCGGGCCGGTGACCACTGGTGCATATCCAGCGCTCTCTGGAAGGTTGGAATGCAGAGCCGGGAACACGGGCTTTTTACGACTTTGGACACCGGCTGTGCGATGTGTGTTATTTACTGCCCGGGAGACCTCGGGTCCCTCATTTGGGTTTTGCGGTAGTTTCAGGAGAGGGGCTCATGACTGAGTCCATCAGTCCTAAAAATTTTTCTGGGACACCTATCAAGATCATAACATCAGGGAGGATTGGGGGGGGGGTCAGCGGCTGTGATAGGAGGAGGGGTAGGG